TCATCAAAAGGCGAGAAAAATGAGAACAAAAATGACTGATTCGATCATTTCTGCGTCAGAAGAGTGCTCAAATGCAACAAAACAACGTTGTTACAAGCTGGCAAAGGTAGAGCGGTTGGATAGCGCGAGCTCTCCTCGAGACAAACTTGCTAAGAACTCGGCGAAAATGCCTAAGGTAAAAGGACCTTTTTCAGCGGTGCTTATGCCAACGGCGCCACTGCGAGGGTTCACGCCTCTGTGCTCAACGGAAAGCCCAATGCTGTGGAGAGAAAATGAAAGTGACGTCCAATGCATCGAGCAAGAAAAAGAAATGACAATAGAAGACTGACAACTAGGAGGAAAAATTAAGGGAAAAGGAGTAGAACATATAGTAAAATCACAACTTGTAGTTAAACAAACATACATCAGCTAGAGGGCTTAAGCGTGTTCGAAAATTTAAGGTGGCTCTGAACCCTACCTACAGAATTTTTTTAAATTTTGCCACGGCAAAAGTTGCGTCTTATCATGCTTATTAAAAGTTGATAACATAAAAAAAAATTCACTGTGCCATTTTTGAATTATAAGCCCCCAAAGCTGTAATTAAGGGTGTTTTTAGGAGGTCGTACTGTTGCTATGGTAACCTATTGTGTCACCAAAATGATATCAACGTGTTCACCAATGATTGGGCAGTATTTTGTTACCATGATTGTAGCATCAAGTGACAAAGAGTGGTTATAACGACCCATCAAAATCTAAGTGCTGGAAACTGTTTTGAGCCACCTGAATTCTAATCCATTTTATAGCGCGCGAGCATCTCGAAAAGTGAAAAAAAAAAATGAACTTCGTTGAGTCAATCGGGGTTATCAGAATTATTCAGGCAATGAACGTGTTGCTTGGTCTCTCACGCGGTACGGTGATTGTTACTTGCTCTTTACGCCGTTAAATTTTACCTTCGATTTTACCTATCGATTTTAGGCTCTCCAGCGACGTTTCCTTCGCACGTAGCCTGCGAACGCTGACGTATTTCCGGCTGTCGCTAGTCTCCGCACTCGAGTTTCATTGTATCACGGAATCTGATTGGCAAAAGAGAAACAAAAACCATTACGTCACAGAAATCGTTTCCTGTCTCGGGTTCGCAGACGTTATTTTTCGGCGGAGACAAGCGACAGCCGGAAATACATCTGCGTTCTCAGGCTACTTCGCACGGGGATATGAAAACGCCATCCGAAGAGAATTTTGCGGAAGTTCACACAAAATTGGTAGATTAAATTTTTAAAAAATAATAATACAAAACATATATCTGTCTACATTTTCTTATTATCGAAACCAGTGAACAGTTGAATGTCCAGTGTAGTAAATGACCAGTGACCGTTTAATTTTTAATGAAGAATCAAAACCCTCTCAATGTAGTAAAGAAAAACAGAAACTATTATCGCACTATGTAACTGACATACAATGGTTAAGGCTTTTTCCTCTAAATTCCCCTGTCTCAGGGCCTTTCCATCTTAAATCCGTGGGGTTGCCTATATTCCCTCAAATTTCTGTACCCTAGGGAACAAAGCCCTTTTTCAATTTCTAAATTCCCAGATCTAAGGCCTTTCCCATTTTACGCTCTTTCAGGTTAATAGACTGTTCAGTCGATATATTAAAATTCAACTTGGCAATGAG